TTTATTTATATTTATACATCAAATGCGTTATTTTAGATATTACATGGATTTAGTTAACATAGTCATAGCCTCTAAACAGTTGTAATTTTTTTTCTAAAAATATAAATAAAAATGAATATTTTAATTCTTCTCGACAATACAATATGCATCTATATTAACTAATACTGAAATTATAATGAATTATGTTGAAAAATTATTGAAACTATCACTTTTTAACAATCATCAGACGTACATAGTAATGATAAAAGGCTGTGAGTTATTAAAAGCGATATTTTCTTCTAAACAAGAATGAGATTTGTATAATACTTCGAGTGATTGAGACTGTTCAGCCGGCAGTTCCTTAATTTCCTCCGCAAAGTCATCGTCGAATAAATTCGGATGGTAATCGTCTTCTTGAGGTGACCTCGATACGTAAAAGCTGCGTCTCCTTGATATCTCGAGAAGTGCTTCCCTCATGGGTTTCCTGGTGATGGTGGGTACCTCGAGGCTGTCCTCGGAGAAGCTCCCCAAGGCGTAAGACGACGAGCTCGACGCCTCAGACTCATTCTTCATGTTGGAGATAATACACTTCAAAAGTTCCTGCCAAGATTCCCTCCTAGTGGTGTTGGACATTCCAGGATAGCTGTGCCTCCTGCCATTGTCATTTGACATCTCCATTATCTCCCGATCAAACTCCAACAATGGAAACAACTCGCTCTCAGACTTTGAGTTAATCAAGTTCCCTCGGCATCTCGATGAACCTTTCAATGACACTTTCTCCTCATCTTTCTCGTTGTCGATATCCGAAAAGTTCAAGGTTGCTTTGACACCACTGGGGGACATTCCGTTGATAATAGAATCGTTGGAAGGGTCATCTTGCCCTCGTCGTGGATTTTTCTGTTGAAAAACTGGGGAAGATGTGCAGAAGTTGCCGGTGGAGATTATCAGAGATGATAGGGACGAGTACGAGGATGTCCTCTCGCATCCCAACTCCTTTGATGGACTTGTGGGCAATGGTTGACCCACATCCATCCGTTTTATCCCCTCGACCTCATTCAATTTCGTGGCTTTTTTCGGTGAAAGCAGTTTCTTCAGAACATTTCTGCATACTGCAAAGATAAATAACTCAAATTACCACAAAAATCTGGCTTCAAAGTCCAACAGAAAACAAAAATAAAATAGTATATGTCATCTGCCCCATAAATTTATTTTTAAATCTCATTCATTATAATATGAACTATCATATAAGAACTACAATCGATTTTATTACTATAATTTTATTTTCTTATTACATATTCTTTCAAAAAATTATTGTTCATTGAAAGAAATATTTGTTTAAAAAATTTGGAAATGACTGGGTCCCCACCACGAGCATTAATAATTAACCAGTCGATATATGTCGAAAAAGTAACGTTCGATATATCGATTTTTAATATTCGATAAATCGCAATTTCGAGATATATCGATTGCTGAATATTTGATATATCGATCCCTATATTATCGATTTATTTATGAGGGATAGCGGAAATTTGAATTCAATTAGGATGAGCCAAAATTGTTGACATAAAAATTTATCATAATTTAATCGATGCTGTTAATTAATTGAATTAATTGAATTAATGAATTTGTAATGAAACTCACCATGGAGAGTTTTCTCAGCGGCGGGGAACGGCTTCCTGGGATTGTTTGACATCTCCTCGACTTTTTTATTCTCTTCCTTGTTGATTTTTGGCTTCGCCGGGGATTTCAATAGCTCCAGAGCCGACAGAGAATGAATTCTCCTGGTGCATCCCATCTCCACGGCATGTCCACCATCAGCTTGCATCGGAAATGTCCGATTTTTTTTCACCACCCGTTTTTTACGGTAAATTTTTATCCTGTCGATGCAACTGAACATTTTTACCACTCAAATTCAATCGATCTTGTTGATTTAATCAAGCTTTCAGGTATCTCTCTATATTTTATTTTTTATCACTCGCACTTTATATTTGGGGGGTCGAAGTACACGTGCCCTTTGTCGAATAATTTCTGCGACGAAATTCAAAGTCCCGCCGGTATTTGAATCCTCCGGGACACCTTTGTGATGATCAATGGTGGGGGGAGGGGTTTTTCAAGGATTGGGAGTAAATTTTACTGCCCCAGCGGCGCCAATTCCCGAGACTGAGATTTTCCCGGTGTGGATTTTCCCCAGACTGGGTTTTCCCCTGGAAAAATTAAAAAAAAATATATATTTATAATTGAACAATTGAAATTAAAAATAAATTGTTTAACGGTCAATAAAAATAACAACATGTTTTATTTCGTGTTTGATTAAAAATCAAGTAATTATTAACAATCAAGTAATTATTAATTTTCAGGTGGGAAAATACGCATTTTTTTAATCCAATACAATTACTCCCACGATAATTCCTGTAATATTTCCGAAGAAATAAAAACATAATTGTAATCAAGAGAGCCTTTGATATAATAAAATAAAAACGAGAGATGAAAATTAAATAAAACAAAAATTTTCTATTTATTTCTCCACCAGAATTCCCTAGATTTCCTCTCCCTCCGTAATTTGCAATTTTCCTTACTCTCATTATTCATGTGAATAAAACACTCGTCCTTCCTCTCATTATTTATTCATGATTTTTTATGATGAAAAATGGAAAATCAATTTTCCACTGTTGGACCTTTCATTTTTTCCATCGGGGATGAAAAAAAAAATGTTCAATTCCGAGTAGAACCACAAGTTCAGTCATGAATGAGATTGAACTCGATTTGAGGTACGAAATAACGGAAATGAAAATGGAATTTTTTTTTATAACCCTGAGGGAGATAAATCAACGTCTAGGCTGGCGCCACACAGACTGTCTCCCACCAACGAGAAGCTGCTGATGCAAAAACATCAGAGGAATATAACGAATGTAAAATTATCCTAGTCTCACCCAAATACGATTGAACCGTTTATTTCCCGATCTATTGTAATGACTGATAGCTTTTTGATTAGTTAATCGAGAAATTATTGAAAAATCATCGCATTAACATTTACATATCGAAGAGATAATTAATTTCATTGAATTTCATTTGATTTTATTTTATTTTATTAATTTAAACGTCAGAACCAAGGTCTCAAAAAAACGCTTTAAACAAATGGATACATTTTTTACAAACGGAAATATTAAAATTTAATGTTCAATGCAATTGAGTTTTCAATAGTTTGAGAATTCAAGAGGAATGGATTTTCATTATTTTCTATCACTTTCCGGTCTTCTCCTAAAAGTACAACTCATGACTTAATAAATACATGATTGAATAATTGATTAACTGAAAGCAATTTTTATTACGCCATTTTTTTAAATAATTTCTGGTGAAATAAAGACCTGAATTTTCCCAGATTTCCATAATTTTCCAATTATTTTCTAAGACTGTAACTCATCAATCAATCGAATTAATCAATTCATATATAAATTTACATAAATTAAAAAATGGCATTGACACTCTGCATTGATTAATCAATTATGAGCTAAATGCATTTTCTTTTATTCAATTTTAAAAAATAATTTATCAATATTAAAAAATAAAAAATGAAGACCGAAATTTTCCCTATTAAAGTGACTGAAAAATGGAGTAAAAATTTTTTAACACTGTACCTTGATCGATGAGGTTTTTCCATTGAGATAAATCCTGAAGACTCGATGTGATGCTCCATATGAAATTCCACTGTTCACAATTGTAATTCCCCAATGGCGATGATTGCAGATCCTCTCCGAAAATGAATGAATACAGATTGATATCAGCTCGTCGTTGTAAAAATCAACAAGTTATCGGCAAGTTTCACCCCATATATCCGTTATCCCACGGTTTTTATGAGATTCTACTTGGTTTCACTGCATGAAATATTGCGCTACAATTCATGGATTAAAGGGGTGGTATAAATCCCCCAGTAACCGACTCTTAATTTATACAGCGCTATATTCCCGCCTCAGAGGAGATTATCCCATGGGAATTTTCAACCTGGGAAAAAAGAAAAAAATGGATCATTCAATTACCAAGTGGAAAATCATATTATCAATTATTTATTGAATTTTCTCCCACAGTTTTCACATTTATGTGAAAAATATTCAAATCCCAATTATTGAATTTATCCACAAATTTTCTGGTGTTTAAACTTCCCAATAATTTAATTCAAATAATTGCAATTCACGAAATCAATTTTTCGTAGATCGAAGAAAAAAAAAAACTCGGGGCTGAAGAGTCTGAGAAAAATTTGTTAGGGAACGCCCCACTCCTGTACCATTCCCCTCCGCGCATTTCTATTGCGCAGAGGGGTGACAGGTACCGCGAAATCGAAAAGATAAATTCAAAAATCAATTCAATTTTATTTTTGAATAGGAGAAAAAAAACTCGGGGCTAGA